ATTTCAACAAAAATAACATTATTTATTGAAAAGAAAGTACCTAATAGATACATACTTACATCATACATGTAAACAAGAAAAAAAAACATGGCATTATATATCCGAAAGTTATAAAAATGAAATAAAAAGTAACACGTATATTCTAAACAAATAAACAAAACAAAAACTTCAATCCAACATTATTCCGCTGTAAGAGAGAGAATAGTCCGTTTTCGTTTCACGCATTACGTCGTTCTACAACAATCATGGATTGTCTTTTTAAAGTAATTATGAATGAAAGGTTTTGTCTATCTGTGCTAAATAGTCTGAATTCTTTATAAATATGTTGTATTATGAATGAAATTATCAAGTCTGCAGACGATACTCGCAGAAATATTTACCCGCGAGACTCTCGCACGAGACACGAGTCTTGCGCGAGACTCGAGACGAGACCAATGAAAGTCTCGTCTCGTCTCGTCTTGTCCGAGTCTCGTTTCGAGTCTTGTCTCGAAAACGTGACGAGACCATGCGAGACTCTCGAAAACGAGACTCTCGCGGGCAGCACTACCGTAATTAGACAACCAGTTTCTTCACATTGAAACGAAGAAGCATGTGTACTTACATAAATGTATATTTTCCATTTCTTTATCATTTATGTCGAAGTTAGATAAGTTGGACCTGAGACACTCTGTATAGTCTGTATGAATCTTTTTAGCATAGGTACGTATAAATGATTTTTCTCTCTTCTAGTTCCTCTCCGGTGTTCTTACTTTCTCTCGAATTTAAAAAGAAACATCCTGTAAAATATTTCATCGTTTTAATTCTGCAGTTCCTTCTAATTATAATTCGTTTTTGGTTATCATTTGGTCATCATCTATTATTTTATTAGCTGGTGTGATTTCGATAAAATTCTCCATCCTATATTATGAAAATACTCCTCATTATTATCATTAAGTAGCACTATAATGAATGGTACCAGAGTGATTCGATTAAAAAAAATGTGTATTTCTCAGAAACCATTTTAATGAACTTTATTCGCAAGCAAATCATATACTTATGAGAGGTAATTTGATATTTTTGAGATCAAGTTAATTTTTTTTCTTACACACGTGTCAAGAGTGAATTACCATGGAGATTTGAAATTAAATATGAATTGATGTTGATGTCCTGATTGTTTGCTCATGTACGTATGTCCATATTTTACTCGGAATGGGTTAGACATTTTGTGCTACCTATTTTTTGGCAGCAGCTTCTGTCAAATTAAGTGTCATTTGTTCTAATTTTCAATAATTGAGAATTATTACCACAGTTTTTGACATGATTTACAAAGTATCCCTAGAAGGTCTGTACAAAATATCAGCACATGATCCTGAGGTCATAATTAGGAACTTGGAAAATAAAAATCGACAAGTTGGAGCCTACCTATACTCTGAAAAAGTATTTCGAAAAATCCATTTTCGCACTGTTCATTCACTCACCAAATTACATCCACGAAGAAAACAGCAAACATTTTTTATTCAATAGTAATTTACTGCGAAAAAGTCACTTTACGCACGTGATAGGTGAATTATTTTTCCTTGTAGCGTACGGAAAAACCCAAAAGTTAACATAATAGGAAATTGTTTTATTAGGATCAAAAGTGACACTTTGTTTGACAAGCGAATTTTGCATTTGCGAGGCGAAACGTCTAGCAAAGCAGAGCGAAAGCAAAATTTGCGAATCGAACGAAGTCACTTTTGATCCAAATGAAACATACATTTTCATTTGCAATCGGAAGAATTAACTAAAATAAATATGTGAAGTAACCACCAATGTGACTTACTTGACAGATTATCATAATACCTTTATTATAAAAATATAGGTAAGTAGATAGAAGCAAGACCTCAGACTACTTTACATTCACCTTGATTAGAATATTGCCGTGCCGTATGTAATACAACAAATAATCCCTGTGGTGAGAATATTCCACCTGCCTTTACAGATCAGGTTTATTCAATTTTCGAGGATGTTCGAATTGTAGTTTCGATATGAATACAACCACAGAGTGACCCATTTGTGTATTATATTGAATCGATGAATGGATGAATTGATTTGGACCAGGTGTCAGAACTAATAGCAAATACCGCGCTAGTGCCAGGTATAGAGGAATGCAAGAAGACAGAAGAAGTATAGAAATGAGTGGAAAATGTTAGGTTAGTGCGATAATATCAACAATAATAATAGCGATTATTAATTTTTCTCCATATTCCACTGTGTTTAGCTCGGTAATCAAATAAATGTTGTGTGAGACAGAAAAATATTGCTGAATGACGAATGAAATACAAATCAAGCGAATATGTGAATCTTGAAGGCTTTCCTAATAGAAACAAAATTACTTAACTATCATATTATGGTGTATTCATATGTCCAGCATCGACCCACACAGGGTGTCCCATAAGTCGTAGATCAAAAAGGGTGGGGTGATAGGGGGTCATTCCCAATCAAACTAACTGTATATGTGGTTATCCACTTGTTGATGATTGAAAAAATGTAGTTTGTTTACTAACACTTTGTGGAAGTAGCATTTTTCCTGTCTAGGCCGGGAAGTATCCCATCGTTGTTGTCACTGTAACTATAAAAATCTTGGTAGATATGGATAAATGCAGATGATAATTACCATAGCAGCATTTTGATTTTTGAGAGTTTGGTTGCAATTATCACAATAAACTAACGAGAGCAACTGCGATAGTGAGTTTGAAAATGTCCATACTAAATTTCCAATGCAACAGTTAGTAGGTATAGGTATTCTGTTCAAATTTCAGTGTTTGATACAAATAAGAATCAATAAAGCAGAAATTGTATTCTACAACGAAATATAATATGGAAATCTGTCTCATTGATTTGTTATTCTACATGGTTGTCGAAAAAATTGTGTACGCAACAAGTCCAGAAACACTTTTTTTGTACTCGCAGACTTCCAGGACTCGCCTACGACTCAGCCTAGAATTTTGTCAACTCGTTCAAAAAACAGTATTTTCCGGACTTGTTACATAAATTACTATTTCTTCTATTACAAGTTTCATCCGCATGGATGCACCTTTTCCAAAACATATTTTTCATCACCTGATGTGTTACGCAGTCGTATCCATTAAGAAATATATTGTTCTCCCCAAGTATTTTTTAATGAAATTATATATTCAGTTGATTTTTCAATTTCACTTGCAGACTCAAAAACTACCCCGCAAAGATGACCAACTATCAGAAAAAGTTGCCAATTTGATACAGATTCCGAAATGGTATAACTTATAGGGTTAATCAAAACAGCCTTTTTGTTATTAATTTTTTCAAATGAGTCACATTTTTCACCCTGTAGAAATACAATAACTATACTTTGACAGTGGCGCCAATTCCATTCAAATTTGACATTTGACATCTTTGCCTAGTCGAGGGAAGGCAAGTTTTCGTTGAAAAGCCAAGTATACGCCCGACTCACGTATATGGAAGGTACTTACCGAAGAAAGAAATTATTAAACAAACGACAATGACATAACAACGATATAATCTTTGAACGGTGGTTGCGACAGCCCAGAATATAAACATTGCTGCACTTACTTCCTACATCGCAACCTTGGTGCTCCTCCGCCTATCTACATGAGCGTAGACATGGGGAAAGCTAGGGGGAAAACGACAAAAATAGAACGAATTCTAACGAAAAATGTACTGTCCAAAAATGTTTTCATCGATATTTACAAAACTGAAACACAAGATATAGGAACCCAAAGTACCACATTATACAGGGTGATTGGGAAATGCGCATACAGTAAGATTAGATGGAGGACACCGAGGTGCTTCTGAATAATCCTTATTTCATGGGTCTACTATTCTTTATAACCGAGATACAGGGTGATTTATTGATTTCCCCCATTTTTTCAATTAATCATAACTTATGAACCACCCTATACAATTTGTTGATATTTGGTTTGTATGTTCCTGGCCCACAGTGGTGACGATTGTCTTAATAAAAAAAGTTCTATTCCAGGGCCGGCCTTGAAAAAATTAATGAGTAGGTTTTAAGTCGAAACAACACCCTATTGATCAATATTTTCAAATCTCATTTACAAATTTGGAAATGGCAGAAAAAAGTGAGTATGACTGGCATTATTTGGTGTTTCCGCATACAACTTTTTCACCTATTAACTTGTTTCAATAATGAGCTGGCACAAAATTGAAAAAATAAAATTTGTCGTCCCAAATGGCACTTTTCCATTATCAATCAATAATTTTTGGATTCCAAGCTAATTGAAAAGCTAGAGGACAAGTCTGTATTTGGGAAAAATAATAATTATTAAATGACTAATCCTAAATATAATGAATGTGTGAGTGAATTATCATTACATTTGTTTATCAAGTGTTCCTTTTCTTCTTTTCTACTCAGATGACGTTGCTTTCATATTGTCTATGGAGGACGCCCTGAGGGAATATAATGCCGATTTGATTTTTTTTGGCTAGGCTACGCTTAGTCGGCGGTCTTAGGACTACTGGTTAGAGACTGCGCTGCTCTGATGAGAGTCAAAGAGCTCGAAATCGGTCTGTAGGTGTCTATTATGGCCTGGCTAAATCTAAATCAATAGGCATTCAGGAAAGAATCACTTGTATCATTATTCGTTTATACGAGTCGATGCATAGATTTCGGGAGGTTGTAATTCAATGTTCTGTGTGGAATTAGCGAGGAAAGTAGTTTTTTTTCTTCTGAAATCTACCATTATTGTTCATTTTATGAACTTTGTGTGGAAATGACTTTGAGCTTTTTGTATTTATTCAACATTTCATCACACTTTCCGAGCAGTGTGGCTATTTCGTAGTTGAAATTACTCACTATGTTTTACCAATTCACTGGAGTCCCTTCCTCAGGAAAAGGCGGCCGTGGATTTACCATTGTCGTAACGACGTTGGGCAATTGTTTTCGCGCTGGTTCTTTCTCCCTGTCAATCTGCATCGCAGTTTGCATGGCCGCCTGTTTTCAGTCGTGCTTTCGGAGTTTCTTAGTGAGGACCACGTGAATTTTCGAGAGAGTGTCTTCAGTTGTTTGATACAGGGTGAGTCACTACGGGATGACGAAAGAGTTACCTGGTTGATGTATTGGGTTTGTTATCAAAGATATGATCGCTCATTTAAATTTTCGTTTTATAAAATTTTTTTCAATCTGAAGGGTGGTAAAGTCGTTTGAAAAAATGAAGAAAGGCGAATTCATTCCCATAATTATTACAATATTATCCTCCAACTTTGATTATTCTACTTTTGAAATTCTGATTTGAATTTTTTCGAAATTCAACAATGAGAACCACAGCAAACACTTCAAATTGAGAATATGTTATTCAAGATACAGTGTGTTACAATTTGCTCTACCTCACCACTGTACTTTCGTATTGCTCAGGCGATTTGAACTTTTTTTTTCTCATTATATACTACTCAAAATTGTCTACTTTTTCAAGCAACAGAAAATTATCAATCACGATTTCTTAGCCTACTGCGATCAGAAAAACTAGCAAAATTGAAGAAAACAGTTATGACAATGGATTCGGACTAGTCACAAATACCCCTTTATAGATTCTCATAAGGGGTGTTTTTTATTAACGTTACAATTTTTGAATAATTGCATTTTTAACTCAGCGTGTATAATGATTCTTTCAAGAATTTGAATATAACCAGACATGAATATAGTCAGTATTAGATCATCTGGCTACAGAGTGAGGAATTCAGGCCAAGAGATAGAGGAGAGTTGCGAAAAAGTTAATTACAATTTTGTAATTATTCAAAAAATGTGACGTTAATAAAAAAACCCTCATCAAATATTGTTTTAGAAATTGATATAGGAGTATTTGTAGCCAGTACGATTCGATAACAATTATCAAAATTCTTGTATAAAAATGACTAATCCGTTTTCAGAAAAATCGCAGTTGGCCAAGAATTTGTGTTTAAGCAGTATATTTTGAGAGAAAAACATTTCAATTTGCACTAGGAATACTGAAGTACAGGGGTGGGGTGGACCAAATTGTGACACACTGAATATTGTTTTTAACTCAGAGATTGAAACCAATAAAAATCTCATCAGTGGGTTTCAATTTATTTGAAGAGGAATATTCTTAGATGAATAATTACATGGAGAAAAATAAATCATCGAGGAATTTTGTTTTCCAATACTTCACCCAATCAAGGGCTTCAAAATTGGAAGATTTGAACTTATTTTCTAAAAAATTTTTGAAACGAAGATCCGTGGTTAGGTTTCCACAATCCAGAATTTCTTTCCATGTCCTGTTCGATGAATACCAATTTTTTATACATCCAAAAATTTTATTTATTTGTTTATTCATTTATTCACTTATTTATTTATTTATTCAGAATTAGAATATGTAATATGTTTATTCTCAACTCGTATGTATTTAATTGATTCATATAAAAATATGAGTATCATTTCACTTTTAGCTTTGGACGTTTCGAGAACGTATCTGCTCCCGTTTTCAAAATAAAAATGGAAAGTTATCCTACCAAATGAAAGTATTGATATTTTTTTTATATGTATTCCTGTTCTTCAAATATTTTCTGAGGAAGGTGTCACTGACTATATTCTATCTCCTCGATTAACCATCAGTTTCAATTTGGAATCGATTATTCTCTATTTTGATAATTTTTTTCTCAATCTGGTCATGTTAATTCTGAATTTGAATTTGTTTACTCACTGCTGAGTTATGTGTACCTAGCTCTAATTTGAAATTGTTAGATCGCTATTTGAAATTGAGGAGGAGAAGAATCATGCAATTATGTATGTACCTAACCGAACTTCTGTAGTAACTTTTCTGGCAATATACAGGGTGTGAGCGTACAATGCAGAGCTATAAAACACTCATTTTCATTTATTTCAATGAAATCTGCAGAGCTTTGTGTTCATTGATATTGCGTTCCCTTCCTTATGTGAGAGTTCAAGGATTTTCCTTGAATTCTGATGGGTATTATTGATATAATGTTGATTCAAGATCAAAATGTTATAAAGAAACATTTGAAGAATTTCATTGAATAATTCCTCATGAAATGGTAATTAATGAGCAAATATTTCGCATTGATATATTCGATCTTGATAGCTCATCTCAACTTCCGCCAATGATAATGATGACTTGATGAGATAATGAATAATAACTTTGTTTATTTCATGGCAATTTTTCTTTCTCAAATTCCATTGATTCACCTTGAAATGTATTTCCAAATTCACATCATATCTATTTTTATGAGATATTCTCATAAAACATATTTTTAACTTATTCAACTTATTTTTTTATTCAGTCATTGAACTTATAAGTATCTATCTATACCTCATACATATATATGAATACATTTATAACTTGATATCTTATCGTTCTCTAACAAAACATATAATATCATCAATCAATATCATCCAAGTTTTTTTCATTACTTTTTGAGTGACAGTCATATAATGTATAAGTACACTATATTTTGCACTCTCGAAAATATAGTCACTGAAATTATGTACCTTTATGTAAATAGTTTCTACATACCCTGTTGATGTAAAAAGGCTTGTCTTGTTGGAGATAAAGAATCAAATTATTCATTTTCAAACATTTCAACAATAATTTATCGCAAAATCAATCAAGAGATTCACCAACCTTAATTGATCGTGACAAACAGAAAACGCTGGGTAAAAGCTTGGGAAATTTGAATATCAAAGATCTATGAAAAGAATCATCTATGGTATTTCCTGAACTTAACATCCACTACACTGTTTTATCACTAACCAAACAGATTTTTTGTACACCTCGTTACGTGTTTCGTTAACAAAAAATGGGTGAGACAATTTCTGACAAAATCATGTTTTTATTCTGTATCAGAGTACATAGACTCCCCTCCGTCATATGACCATCGTCACTGACCACAAAATATTCCTAAAAATATCATTGTCCTGGAAATATCTTTGTTCCGAAACTAGTCTGTGCATTATTTGTTTAGTATCGTCTTTCTATCTGTATTTTTATCTATATTATTTTTTTGTATGTATCTTGTTAACACACTTGATATCTCATATATCACGAATCACTCAGTTATCGACTTTTAACCTGACTTGCTGCAAAATGTGTATACATTAACGTGGTCAAATAAAGTACTTACTTACTTACTTACTTACTTACTATGTTTGATTAAAACTTTAATCTCCTCCTGAAGATGCTCACATTTCAATCTCCTCCTGAAGATGCTGAAATAATTAGCGAAACACGTGCCAAGGTATTTGAGGAATCGGTTTTAGTGGTGAAACGGTATTTTTTTATGTTCTGGTTCCCACAAAAAGGGATATCCTGTAAATGTTCAGAGAACATCGTGAGAACCAAGGGAAATAAGGTAGGAATTGGCGTTCTTCTTGAATTTCTGGAGGTTATATGCCTCGTGGAACACCTCCCTTGGCAATGTGTTCTAGAGTCTCGCTGTTCGTTGGATGAACGAGTCTTTGGAAATAGATATTCTGTAGGTCTCCAAAGTGACCATGAAGGGGTGCGTAGACTCAACTCGACGGGTTAATCTCGTCGCGACTGCCAAGGGAAGAACAATTATTGTTGATATTTCAGAAGAGCATCGTCCATGAAATATTTATAGAGAAGTGTCCTGAGAAGTGAGTGAGTTTGCGAGGGAGGCATCACCCACGAGACGAATTGCCCTTTTTTGGACAGATTTCAACAGTTTCAGAGTATGTTCGGGTGCTGCACTCCAAATATGGGAACAGTATTCCAGGACAGGTCGGATCTGTGCCTTATAGATCATAAGCAGCTCACTGGAAGTGAAATAGCTCCTGGCCCTGAACAGAAAACCAAGTTTTTGGGATACACTTTTGGCAAATGATCTCACGTGATTTTACCAAGAAAGGTTATTGCTGATAGTAATACCAAGCATTGAAATGGATGTCTTCAAAGGTATGGTTACTCCTGACAAGATTATGTTGGGCACAGTGATATCGGCTTTCTTAGAAAAAAGGCATGCTTGTGTTTTGTTTGCATAGAAATCTACCAAGTTATTGGATCCCCATTCGAGAATTGTTGCCAAGTCTATATTTATGTTGTCAACATTTCTCCTTCGTTCGTTTCTGATTTGTCTGGCTGTGTACTGGAAATAAAGTTGCTTCCAACAAATCGGTGATGTTGAGTAGAAATAGTGTTGGTGCTAGAATTGATCCTTGCGGAACACCAGCATTTATGATAAGAGAGTCAGATGAAACTCCGTCGACCACTACATGGAGAGACCTCTGTTTGAGAGAAAACTAGGTCACAGTGTATTATCGTGCGAAAGGTTGCAGTCTTCGATATATTAGGCCTATTGGATCTTTCTATACACGAGCCAACTTCAATCTATTGACCTGACAACTAGATTTCTGAAAAAATGATGATGAGTTACTGTTGGTCAAAGTTGACAGAAAAAATAGAGAAGATAACAAACTTCATTTGAAATCGGTATGTAGTTCATATATCAATTTCAATAGTCATGCATTTTCTCTCGAAAATCCGATCTCACTGTGCCCAACATATATAAGCTTGTCATGAGTAACCATACCTTTGAAGACATCCATTTCGATGCTGGTTAATACTATCATTTCTTGGGAAAATCATGAGATCAATTGCTAAAAATGCATCCCAAAAACTTGGTTTTCTCTTTCGGGCCAGGAGCTATTTCACTTCCAGTCAGCTGCTTATGATCTATAAGGTACAGATCCGACCTGTCCTGGAAAACTGTTCCCATATTTGGAGTGCAGCACCCAAACATACCCTGAAACTGTTGGATTCTGTCCAAAAAAAGGGCAATTCGTCTCGTGGGTAATGCCTCGCTCACAAACTCACTCACTTCTCTGGAAAACCGTAGAAAACTTGGCGATCTGGCTCTATTTCATATATATTTCCATCGACGGTGCTCTCCTGAAATAACAACAATTGTTCCTCCCTTGGCAGTCCCTGCGAGATTAGCCCGTCGAGTTGAGGCTTCGCACCCCTTCGTGGTCACTTTGGAGACCTGCAGAACATATCTTCCCAAAGACTCATTCATCTAACGA